GGCCAGCGGATGTTCCATGCTGTCAACTTCAGAGAAGCCAAGTCCGGGTGTCGGATTGCTCCATTGTGCTGTGTCAACAAGTAAGGAACCGTTGGAAGCCGACAAAAAACACCTTTGGACTGGATGAGGAGAGTGGTGAACCAAGGTTGTCTTGGCCACCATGGGATTATTAATACTCCCGTAGCGTTGTCTAGAACAATCTTCGATACCACCCTCATCAAAAGGGGGATCGGGGGAAATGCGTAGAAAGTCACGTTGCTCCAAGTGATCATGAGGGCATCTCCCCTCGAGTCCTGTCTGATACCCGCTCTGGAGCAAAACAGTTCGCATACCCTGTTCTCTCAGGTATGTCCGGGTATCCCCACATATGGAACAGTTTGTCGCAAATCAGCTGATCCAACTCCCACTCGTGGGTCACTGACATCTGTCTGCTCAGTGTTTCTGCTTCCACGTTGTTGGTTCCTGCAAGGTGGACCGCCAGTAGCATTATGTCCCTTGGGATACACCAATCCCAAATTTGCATCGACAATTGAGCCAAGAGAGGTGACTTTGTTCCGCCCTGCTTGTTGATGTAAAAAACAGCAGCGATGTTGTCGGATGCAATCTGGACAACTTGGCAGTGTATGACGGTCTCAAAGGATTTGAGAGCGTTGAAAATCGCCAGAAGCTTGAGGATGTTGATGTGCTTCCTTATTTCTTGTTGGTTCCAAGTCCCTTGGACCTGAAGTCCTGCACATGCAGCACCCCATCCGATGAGGGACGCATCGGTGTATAATGTCACTGTCATTTGCGGCGGTCGGAACGGAACGCTGATAGATAAATTGTCTACAGTAGTCCACCATGTCAAGGTACGAAGGATCGAAAGTGGAATCCGAATAAACTTGCTTTGCGGGTCCCGCTGCGGGTGAAATGATCTGTTGAGGAACAACTGCAGCAGTCGAAGTCTGAGTCTGGCGTGGGGCATGATGGCAACTGAGGCAGCCATGTGTCCCAAAAGCCTCTGTTTAGTGACAGCCTGTACTGTCCTGTGTTGTTGAATTTGCTGAATATGAGCACAAAGAGTGGCTCGACGGGATGGAGGAAGAAATGCCCTCTGTAGGATGGAGTCGATATGTGCCCTGATGAAATTAATGACCTGCGTAGGGATAAGTGACGATTTCTTACGGTTAATGCAGAGTCCAAGGTCATCAAGTAAAGTACAGATCTTATGTACAGCCGAAAGGAGGCTGTCTCTAGTCTAGGACACAATCAGCCAATCATCTAAGTACGGGTAGACTTGTATACCCTGAAGCCACAGGTGTGCACACACCAGGGCCATACTTTTTGTGAAAACTCTCGGTGCCATGGCGAGACCGAATGGCAGAACATTGAATTCGAATATATCAGGTCCTACAGTAAAACGCAGGAAAGGTCTTTGGAAAAGATGGATATATGAAAATAAGCATCCTTTCAGTCCAGTGAGGCAAACCAATCCCCTCTCCTCAGCAACAGAAGGATATTTTGTAGGGTGGTCATCTGGAACTTTTTAGGCTTGATGTATTTATTAACATCTCTTAGGTCCAGGATGGGACGAAGACCACTGTCTCGTTTGGGGACTGTAAAATATCTAGAATAGAATCCGTGTAGCCCATCAGAGCGAGAGAGTTGTTGAATCGCTCCTTTATGAAGTAGCTCGTAAACCTCATCGCATAAAATTGAAGAGGGCAGCGTAAAACGGATAGGGCTCGATGGTGGAATGATGTTGAATTCTATTCTGTATCCGAGCTGAATGATGGACAACACCCACCTATCAGATGTACTAGACTCCCAAATGGGGAGTCGGCTTTGAAGCCGGCTCCCAAAAGGGAGAGGGGAAGGTGGGAGGTGGAGAGGCTCGCCAGGACCGTAAATGAGGACACTTTTCGGTATCGAAGCATCAACGGCCCTGAGAGAAACATTGTTGAGGCTGTTGCCTTCTACATTGCTGCCTTTGCTGATATTGCTGGCGGGGTTGGTATTGTTGATATCCGTAAGGCCTGGGCCATGGCCACTTACGTTTGTGTTGCGGGAGCTCCATGCGAAGCGCTGTCATATGTGACTTGTGGATCAGTTTTTGCATGAAAAAGCCCGGTACCATCGAACAGCATTTCTTCTATCCTCCTCTTCATTTCTTCAGGGAAGTTACAATTCCTCAGCCACGCATGCCGTCGAAGGGAAATCGCACTGACCATGGCCTGAGAGTCAGTGTCCACATGATGTCTTGCAGTGGACAATTGCTATATGACCACTTGCATTGCCTCTTTTATAAAGACCCTGGCTAGGTCTGCCTGGTGGTCCAGAAGGGAGGAAGCAACGTTATCCAGTTTCTGCATTATGAAGAACTGGTAACGTGCCAGCGTAGCTTCATAATTTGATATGCGTAGTCCGATTCCTGCGGCCACATAGACCCGGTGTGCAAGCATGTCTATCTTCCTCCCTTCCCTATCGCAGGGTGTTGTATGACCGTGAGCCTCTCTGCCCTGGGACGACTCCACCACCACCGAATTTGGCTTGGGGTGGCGTAGCAGAAATGGTATATCTGCCTCTCTAACCCGGTACACAGACTCGTACCGGCGAGACGTCACTTGTGGTTGAGCCGGCTAGTCCCAGGGCTGGACCATCGCCTGGCGAGTGTAGTAATAAGAGGTAATGGTATGGTTGCGGATTGTTCTCCCCGGACAATGTCATAAAATCTATCGGTGCTGTGACCAGGGCGATGATGGGCCTCGATCTCCAGTGACTGAACCAGATGGGAGATGAGCTCCAAGAAGGTGACATGGGGCTCGTCCGGGGAGCCAGGTCCTGGGAAGTGATGGCCACATCAGGGGATGTGGAGTCTACTTCCGACTCATCGGAGTCCTGGTGGTAGCGGTATTGTTCACTGGAAGAGGAGGTCTCTGGGGATGGTGAAGTTCTCCTCTCTGCATGCCCAGAAGTGGATGGCACCTCCCTTGGGATTGATGCTGAATTACAGTCCCGTGGATGATAGGGTTGGTATCCACTCCAGCCAGGGAAGCCACCATAGGCCGGCATAGGCCAGTCATCCAATCGGCATTCAGCTGAATGGCTTCTGTGCCGAGGTGGCGATACAGGTTCCTCAGGTGGCCGAGCGGTAGGCATTTGGGTTGGGGAATGTTCCCTCGGTGGGGAGTCTCTGATCTCTCCATCTGAGATCGATTCCCTAAGTGGCAGCTCCGGATGTGGAGGAGACGTGCTCTCAGGCCGGACAATTTGCCTGGGGGAACCTAGCAGAGTCACCTGCATCGCTGATTGCAGGGCCGATCCTGAGGGAGTCGGTACCGTAAACCCCGACGAACCCAAGCCCTGGTGTTTGGGGCGATCGAGCTTCTTGCCCTTGTGGGGCGCCTTGGCCACTTTATCTTTCCTCGTTTTTTTGTGCCCAGAGGATTTATCAGACTCAGAGTGCTTACACTTCTTCTTTTGCTTAGTTGAGGGAGAAGGTAGCTGTTGCGCTTCCGTCGAGGCAGTGCCTTCGTCCGAAGGACGCTGTGGCGGTGCGGCCGATGTTGAGGCGGGGCGCTTGGAGGGTGTGGCCGAAGTAGAGGCGGAGCGCTGAGGAGGCACAGTCAAGGAAGAAGTAGGCCTTAGGACCAATTGGTCTGATTGTAGCAAGGCCTGGTCCCACAGCAACTTGCAGAGAGGATTCTACCTATTCTTCCTGGCCTGTTTGGTAAAGGCCAGGCAATGCCCGCACTTGTTGGTCCTATGCTCCACACCAAGGCAGAGGAGGCATAGGTCATGCAGGTCGGCGGGAGACATTTTGGAGCCGCACTCACTACATTTGCGAAATGCCGCCCGCTGCGCCATCGCAAAAAGGAAAGAGAAGATGATAGTGCAGAGGATAAAGAATAATATTTTTGTTTTTTTTTAGAAAGAAGAAAACTACAACATGGATAAGAGAAAAAACTGGGAGTAAAACAAGGTGAGTATAACAAGGTAAGTGTAACCATAAACGAGCACAAGGCAAGAATCTAAGCGAGAGACAAACAGACATGAGGCACAGCAAACTGCGGTCGCAAAGACTGAATGGCGGATGCTCTGCTCTATTTATACTATAGGAAGAAGGGGAGCGGAGACTTTTTCCGCCAAAAATCGTTAGCTTTCTAATCTTCCGGCCTAGGCACTGCGCAGCCACAGCACCATATGTGTGATGCACAGAGGCCATGATGAAGAATCTCAATTTTTTATGAGACACTGCTTCATCGCTTTCTCTCAATTCAGTCGATTTTGTATGGTTTGCTACAAGGATATTGCCAACAGTGGCATCTCTAGAGTCACCCCTTATAATGTCTCAGTATTCATTCCTTGTTTAGGGCTGTCAATGGGTTTCTTTAGCTCCATGCTGCAACAGAGGCAGAGAAATTAAACTCACAAGCAACCACTACTCTTAGATGCTGTGTGTCTGTGGCAAATTTAACATGATCTGACGGTCGTATTTGGAGTTATCCTCAGAAACCTGTTCTGTTCTGTGCTATCATGGGTTACTCATAGGTGATATATCCTCCAGCAAGCTCTTCTTTTGTATTAAGTTACACCTGCTTTAGCATCAGTATTTTGATGATGTGAGGATCAGCCCTACCCAGTCTCATAAAAGCATCAGAAAGGGATTCTCTTGCTCTTCTCCCAGGTAGCACTACATTGTTTGATGAAGCTCTCTATACTTACCAGTTGCTCCCCTTTTCACTTGCTTATTTTGTACATAGGTGAGTAGCTGAGGTGTTAGAAGGGAAGAGCACTTTAGTTGCCTTTTACAATGTAGAGAAGAGATCTGAAAAGTCCCTTTCCTTGTCTGTCAACAGTTACTAAGGAAGCTCTCCTCCCTTATCCTACACAAACGGGCAATACTGAATGATTCCACCAAGCTCCGAATGGCCTATTCCATGGCTAGCAGGCTTCCACTTGTACATTCTGTTGGTTTAGGAATATGCAGGTAAACATGACAGGATAGGCCATGGCATCTGTTGATTGTGCCAGAATGTGTCAATTTAGTTTATTTCAACTTCCCTTTTAACCTGTACATAATGACCTAGTGAAGTCAAGCAAAAAAACTAATATCCATCCACAAAGGTAGCTGCTAAACAATTACCAGTTCTGTATTCCATGAACCTTTAGCAACTAGTACAGTTATTAACTATATCCTTCCTCCCACCGAAAGAATAATTCATACAAAGTTCCAAAGACTTCATTTTTATCTAGAGAAGGATCAAACACAAGATTATAAGATTCAAATCAGTAAATCATGTTTTCATATACAAATTTCACTAAACTTTAATTTGATAATTAACTGCAAGACAGTTTAGTATTACATTGTTAAAGGCACATTTCATTTTAATGCATAGTGTACCATTCTAAAATATTCTAATTTCTTTACAAAGTGCTTCAGCAGCCACATACAAGTATAGCAAAATATATTTACAATCTAGAGTTTAAAATCTTAATTTGCCTAAATATTTTAGAACTAGATAAAATTAGTGCGTTCTTTCAGCTTAACTGTGTGAACATACCCTGCCTCTAATGTTTTTTTAGTTATTCTTAATTACAAACATTTCTGTACAAGATGTACTTACAAAATATTCTATCTGTAAAATTTCAATTTGAAGCACCCATTTGGGACCCAGCTGGCTGTAGCTCTGCTTTGGAAGTAAAAAGGGCTAGCAGACTGTACCTCAGGTGTGTAGTGTTTAATTAGGATATAGTTATGTGAGGTGGCAAAGAAATAGTAAACTAGCATTCTCTAAAACATGCTAAAATAGCACATTTTAAAAACAGCAATTTCAGATTAGACATAGTCATGATTATTTTAAGGATGTCTTATCTTACCTATGTCCCCTCATGGACAAGCTTGCATGTACATTATTCTAGTGATCCAATTACACCTTATGTTATTGCAGGCCTCTAGAAAAATCAACACAATATTAACATATCACATTCAGGCCCATTAATAGTTTACTGGGGGAAAAACTCATGGTATAAAAGCAGCACCTTGGTGTTGCACTATCTCCACTCAAACGCAACATGGTGATTTGATTTCTATTTATCTGTTATGGAACAAGGTGAAAAGAGGAAGTCTGAATGATTTTAAACCTCTCACAACTAATTATTTTGTGCACTATTGGGTAAAAGGCTGATCACAGAAGCTACTTTTAATATGCTAAAGAAAGTGGAATGTCAGTTCTGTAATATATTTTTACAGAATATTTGGAAATCTATATAAAAGTCTGTAAGGAGCATACACAGTATCTGGTCAAAGACATTAACTTTTGAGGTACAGCATAGTGTTAAGAGGTTTAAAATATACAAGTTTTATCAAAAATATTTATACATTCTCTTAAAACATATTGCTTTTACCCTTATTCTCAATAATTGCCAATGAAGATTCTGGAATTCAGTGGCCTTAAAATGTATACAAGTATGTTTTCCCCATTAAATTGGATCTAACAATACATTCACATAGCCACTCAACAAAATCTAAAGAAACTGGTACAGTTTATAATCTTGAAAAAAATATACTATAACTTCCAAATAAACATGTACACCATGTGTATACACTCAAGATCCTCATTCTTTAAAGGTGATATGGTAACATCACATCAGCCAATATAAGATGTACATGATAGCTAAATACATTGCTTTCCTAAAAAATATTCTGTCCACAGAGTTAAGTGTAGAAAAGACACAACTTCAAGAGTACAGAACAGTGATTGCATTTAGGGGAAATGCATACACTAAAAGTATTCCTGGTTAAGACTGAAGAAACATTCTTATTTATTACATTCTTCATATCTGCTGGTTATTTATGAACAGTGTTTAAAAAGTTAAAAGGCAAACATTGTTTTGGCAAGCGACTTTGGTAAATTTTTCAGGACCAGTCCTCCATTCCTCTCCTCCTCTCTCTCAATGGAAGTACTTAAACTGTTTTCGTATGTGTAAGGCTTTTAAACATTTCCCCTTCTAATAAATACCATAGAAAGTTTACAAAACAAGGCATTCAGCACTCAATCCGTATTATTTTAAAACTCAACAGTGTGCTTAACAGTCTTTAGGTCTACATAGGTCTTTTGCAAGATTATAATAATTTCACTTTTAAAGGACCAACAGTTTTTGCCTTCTTCTATTAAAACCTGGGTAGGTTTTATCAGTTTAGCTCAGAATCTGGTTGGTATCCTACTTCTTAAGGCAGGTATTTTGCAATGTGTTCTGCTGCAGAAGAATAAAGATACAGTACAACGGTGTCTGTACTAGAGTAGCACATAGGCTGCACCCACCAATTCAGGTTAAAGAGCTGCACAGAATTGCTTTCCAGTGCTCAAGATTTTCTTTAAAAAGATATACCCCAAAAAGGCCACACCTTGTGTGTATTAAAAACAGTACTTTAAAAAATCTTCATATGATTTAAAAATCAGAAGCTACAGGCAACTCAGAGACCAATCCAAAGGCCAGGCAAATGCTGTTCTCGGGAGCCACAGTCTGCTAGAATTTCACAGTGTCTAAATTAGGATTAACACCAATCAGCGATGTAGTCAAAGTCTCTGAACATTTCCTGCTGATCATCTGAAAGTATCCTAGGCTCCCGTGGTGGAGTGAGAATAGGCGCTTCTGAGGTAAATTCATCATCGAAATTGCTGACGTCTTCTCTTCCTCTTATGATCGGTACAAAAGGAGGCTTCACTTTCTTGGCAAGCAATGCATTCCAATCAATCAGCTGTAAAAGAAAGCACCATTTAAGTTTCCTCCTTGTGGCTGTTGCTAGACTGTACCCGCACTGGGTTTGACACTCACCCGGAAAAAATGATGCTTTTTGACATCTTCGGCATCTTTCTCACCAGCACCAAGACGTCGTTCTGGATTTCTCCTCAGAAGCTGTCAACAATATAAAGAACTTACACAGTTAGCCTACATGAGAACCATGTTCTTTGTATCAGTTACTTCAGCGCTATCCAGTGTAATAGCTGAACATCAGTGAGAATGTAGGAAAGTACTATAAAAGCATTTTAAAGTGACTGTAAAAATTATCTATGACATCCACTGCTGCCCTGCTACAAAATTTTAAGTTCTAGTGGTCTCTTTGTCATGGGCATGTATACGTGGCGGCATCTTTTTCTGGTGCATCAATTAAAGAAAAGTCACCTGGCTCACAAGTGGTGCTAATCCTGCAGTTGCACAGAAGCCACACCTGGAGCAGTTCTACCCAGCAGAAGCAGGACTCTTCATGTGGAGGCTTTGGAGTTACAAGGCATACTTCCATTTGACACCTAAGCTCATGGCATTCAGCTGCCTTGAGTGCCATGTTTTGGCAGAAAGGTGAAGTACAACATAAAGAATATATATTTTTTTAACTTTAAAGCTCTAATACAGTATGATCCTTAGAAGAAGTCTTACCCTTCGCATTACTGAGATGGCTTCTGTAGAGAGAAACCGTGGATATCTTACTTCATCATTTACAATACTGTCAAAAACCTCTTCTTCATCATCTCCTGGGAAGGGAGACTGTGGGAGAGGGGAGAAACCACATCTATGAATAATTTGCATAAATTACAATATTAATATATTTTTATGGAAGAATGTTTGCAATTAAGTAAGTCAAAGCACAGTGAGACACTAAGAGGGCAGGATCCTGCATTCAGCAACAACTGTCCAAATGGGCATCTTTTCTGAACCTTCTGTAGATGGATAAAGAAATACTTGTACATTTTGCAAAGCTTACCTCACCAACCAGCATTTCATAGATGAGCACGCCAAGCCCCCACCAGTCTACAGCTCTGGTATAGGATGTTTCTGTCAAGACTTCTGGGGCAAGGAATTCTGGAGTGCCACAGAATGTACTGGTTCTGTCACCAAATCCCATTCCTGCAACAATTGCACAAATTCTAAAAACAGAACGTAATTCCCTTTCATCTCTATGTTCTAGTAAACAGCTTGTTTTTAACAGTGCAAGAGTATTAAAACTATGTGGTTATTATATGAAGAATGAATGAGGTAGTGACTTCAAATATAAAATGCTGTGTTGTGCTGTATCTCTATGAATTTCCTTCTCATAAAAATGATCTCAACTTGAAAAGTTGACTTAAGGTGAACAACTTTTTTTTTAAAAGTTGATTAAAACTTTAAATACCACCACATATCTGCTACTCAGGCAGTTATTTACTTCAGGTGTTACTATGCTGTCATTTTTAAAAACCAAACTTGCAGACAATCAGGAAATTTGAATTTAGTAAAGCCTCAAATTATATTCAATTTATTCAACACTGTTATCTGAGCAAATGATAGGCATTTCATTTTGCCTCCAAAATAGGTCAAATTGACTTATGTGATCCTCTAGATTTAAGTTTTCTTAGATACAGTGCAACCAAGATATAAATACATCAACCTTTCACAAAGCTAACAGCTTAATACTATTTACATATGCCAGACAGAATTTTTTTTTTTTTACAGAACAACTTAAAGGTAAGGGGACAACATGCAAGCTGTGCCAAATTTTACAGAATGGCAAAAGTGAGCAACTATTCAAGAATATTTTTATTACTAACAACTATTCTGCTTGTATACAGAGGGCACAGGAATTTTGCCACACATACTTTTTGCAGAAGTTTTCATTTTTTAAAGAAAAAATATGGTTGTAAGTCGGAAAAATATGATTTCAAAAGTACATTTAGTTCTACAAGGTTAGTTTTATATCTGGATATCAGGAAACATGTTGTACTCTGGTACTTGCACTTAACATGTGTCCAAAATTATGAAGTGTGATGAGTTTATTTAGCATGTTTCATATATCATTCTAAATTACTTGGAAATTAAGTTCCAAACCATCCCGTCTCTAGTTACAAGTATTTTAAAGGAACAGATTCCCACCACCTACTCTCTTCATGATGGAGTGTGCATTATACACTCTGTCATCCCTACCATAACCAAGACTAAAACATAAAAACTCTGATACAATGAAATGTTATGAAGACCAAGCTCTGAGGAAATACTATCATTCTTGCACAGTTAAGTAGACTGACAAGGTAAGGCATGTGTGGCATGTTCAAGGCACTGTGCTGTATTTTTAACTGAAACTACTCAGGAAATCATCGTTTCCCTTGTCTCTAGCGATCCATAAAAGCAGTTCCCATGAGGGTCACCATAACTATTCCTTCCTGCTCTGCCCCTTTTCTCTCACTCAATTGAATAAGATGAAGATTGGGCAGGGTTTAAAGTAGTCTGAAAGTAATTAACAACAATCCTGAAATATGGAGATATAACATGATTCCAATATATTTACTCTGTAAAAATAACACCCTTTTAACTAACAAAGGTGTATGTAGTTATTATTTATTAATCGTATGCACGTTTAGGCAGAAAAAAGTCTGTCAATTCCCAATGATTCTTGGCCAGACATACTGCACAGGGAATTCCAGAAACTGAAGGACTTTTGCTGTCTAAACACAAATAGAACTTCACCCTAAGACGCACCATTCAGAAGAAAATGACAGCATCCACCAACAGATTAAAACTGTTCGAGCGGCAAATCATTTTAGATGTGACACGTATGCCTAAATATGTTTTTGTAAACCATCTTAAAATTTCACTGATAGATTAGGCAGCATATAAATGTTTTAAATAAAAACAAACAAGTTGACTAAAGCAGTCTTTGTCTGAAAAGTAGGCCCAAAGCAAGACTGAAATGGATTTAGATAATCCGCCCTATCCGGAAATACCTAGAAGCTGAGACACTACCATAAGCTACAGTACCTTGCCCAAGAATGGAATACTGGAGAGTTACCTCAGTGTCACTGATTGAATGGATCTACTCTAAGCATGAATAAGGTTGGCTCCAACCCACCAAGAGAGAGAGAGAGAGAGAGGGAGGACAAAAAAGGATCATGCAAGGAATGCCTTCATATTTCTCTCACAGTAGCAGTTAAAAATATTATCAAAAGTAAGCATTTTTAAAATATTAATGGTGTTTTCTAAAATAATTGAGGTTGTCATTTATGACAGTGGGCATGAAAGCATACTCAATCGCCCGGTTCATACATATGGACAACCCATTGGTTATTTAAGCCAGGAGCTGTCAGGGATGCCCTGCCTGCTCACTACTGCTTTGCACCAAGTTTCTCAAACAATGGAGAGATGCCTTGTTAAGTTGTTTTAAGTTGAGCGGCAAACAATCCAGAGTCTAATTCAGCGGTCCTCAAACTTTTTCAATAGGGGGCCAGTTGAAAGGCTGACGTGACAGGCCAGTGAGGTGGGGGTGCCTAAGAGTGCGGGCCAGTGAGGTGCCATTGGGCACGTGCGAGGTGGCACTGGGCACGCATGGCAGTGGCTCACTCGCTTGGAGATCTCCCAGCGAGTCCAAAGCCACGTCTGAGCGAGCAAGCCGCCAGCTCCCCGCCTGCACTGTGAGGCAGCGGCAAGCCCGCATGTAAGGGAGGCTGGCGTCGGCTTACTTGCTCGGAGACCAACTCCAAGTGAGCAAGCCACCAATGGCCATGGCGGGCCGAATCCGTCCCGTGGCCCTAGTTTGAGGACCCATGGTCTAATTCAATAGTTTTGTTGTATAGTGAAAACTTGAGTTGGTTGTCTTTCAACAATACAGAGTTCTGTGTTTACATGTCACATCAAACAACCCAGAAACGATGTGTTAATATTACTGTTGATGAAACCAGTTGCAAAGTAGAAGCAGTGAGCACACATGGTCCAGCTTGCTTTAGACACCCCATCAATTCATGGGTTAAACAACCCATGATAGGTGTAAATTAGGTCAATGTACTATAGACTAACCCAATATAAGCTCCAGAAGGAGATCTACAAAATTCAGAATTTACTTTCTTGCAAATGTACACAGGATTGTAGTTTTTGTAGAACAGATAGGAAACATAATTGAAATACGGATATCTCACCTTTTTTTCCCAACACAAAATTACTCATTTTATAAAAATTAAACTTCTTGACCCATTATGAGAGTCCTAAAGGAATGTCTCACATGCCAAAAATATAATTTGTTATGACTCTTGAATAAGAAATAAAATTCAAAGTATAGCCTTTCCAAATCCTTTGGAGAGAAAAACTCAGTTCTCTAGCTCATAACGTCATGTGAGAAGTAGATAGCTTAGCCTATGAAAACTCATGCCACAAAAAGTTATAAAGTTATACAATTTATAAAGATGCCAAAGGACTCTGGCTTCTTAAAAGGCCTGATTATTTAAAAAACATAAGCAATTAAACCGTTTCAACACATTAACATTTTCCTCTTGTTAGCTAAATGCACATACTGGCCACATTGTAGATTTTGTACAAGAAAATATTAATGGACTTCAATATCTGAATTTTAATAATAATTTAAAACTGGAATATAGGAGAAGGACCTGGGCCTAAAAAATTTAGAAAGGGAAAAAGTTATGTTGCTCACCTCTATCTCATGTTCATCAGCCTCAAGAATGGATCCTGCCAGTATTTCAGCACATAATTCTAGAAGGCTCTGAATGCTGTGCTGTGCAGGCACAGGGCCCATATGTGGGACTGCACGGAGCCCATAATGAACTAGTAAAAATATTTACTATTTTCTTGAATATAATGTAACCTCAGTGTGACTAAAACTGATAAATGTTGAAAAACCATATATATGCATATATATGGATATATATAAAAAGCATTCATATGTATACATATGTATACATATATACATATTACATATATGTATGTATGTATGTGACTACAAAAGCCATTCTTTCTGTCACACATGGGATAAAGTCACTGATCAGAGATTTCTTGGCTCTTTCATGTCCCCTGCCCCACCTCTTCAACCTTTGCTCTGTTCACTGAGCATCTTGAAGCTTGGCAGAGTTGCTTTATGAAACACCTAACTCTCACCTCCTTCCTCCACGTGGCAACATACAAAGCATACGGAAGAGAATGTGATTTGCAACTCACAGTGAGCCCAGCGGTAAGAGCAGGCGGAAAAGGGGTGGTGTGGAAGAGCGATACTGTTGACCTGGAGCAGTAATTGTAAGAGCGAGCTGCAAAGTTCTGCCATTTCCATAAAACACTAACTACTCTTATAAGCCATGTAGAACTGCTTTTGAAAAAGCTTACCCTCCTTGCAGAGACCAAAGTCAGCTATTTTCACAAAACCTTCTGTATCCAGCAACAAGTTGTCTAGCTTTAAATCTCTACAAAAATAAATTAAAAGCAATGCATTATGCTTACAGTGTGAACCAAGCTTTCCCTAAAAGCAAGGAAAGGAAACTTTTTGCATTAATCTGAACAACCACAGTACATTAGCCAATCAAGTGCAAGCAGCACAATACGCAGTGAAACAGAAATATAAATCTTATGAATACATACCTATACACTATCTTGTGCTCATGTAAATACTGCAGTCCAAGAACCACACAAGCAGCATAAAATCTGTTTAAAGAGAAATGCAGTATGTCAGTTCTCATCTCTCTCAGTTTTTTTATACTTATGCAAAGGGTAACTGTTGAAGATAACAACTTATACCAGTACCACAAAAATGTCTCTTCCTATTACTTTATTTTGAATACAGATGTACAAGGTTTGACTGAAAAAAGGTGCATGGCTCAGTAGCAGAGCATTTGCTTTGCATGCAAAAGGTACTAAATTCCATCTTTGCATCTCCAGTTACAAGGCTCAGGTAGCAACGCGTGAGAAAGGCCTCATCTGCCTGAGTTGCTGGACAGCTACTGCCTAAATTCAAGCTAGGGCTAACTGCAGTTCCCTCATAGCAAGACGTGAGACATGAGGTTCCTCCCAATCCAGCCAGTTAACAGGGAGCCAGTGTTGGTCTACATTCATCCTTAAAATGTAATTGCTCGTGAAGAATACACCAAAATCACAAAATGTTGCAAGTGGTAAGCGTCCATCTGGTCCATATCAGAGCTGGGGACTTACACTGCTCTTGGTTCAGAAAAGACGTCTGTGTGTATGTGCATCATGAGATCCCCGCCAGCGGCATACTCCATTACAAAGCACACATGATCTTTGGTTTGGAAACAGGCAAAAAGGTTCACCAGAAAGGGATGCCTTACGCTGTTCACAGTTTCAAAAATTCGTTTTTCACACATGAGACTGAAAACAGAAATGTTTTAAAGTCAATTATATTGTGGTCTAAACTACTTCAATGCACTAGAGCAAGCGTGGCCCCCACCCAAAGCGCCTAACTATCAATTCCTATACAAGTTTACAAACGGGAAAGCACTGCTGCCAAAAAAAACCTTTCCAAAAGCAGGTCCTTCTGAGTTATTTCCACCAAGTTTATTTACATGGCAGGCAACCACATTTATCCAGTAACTACAATTTTAGTTAAACTACTGGCCATTCCAACTCCTAATATAAATTACTGTGCACTAATGTAAACTACTCTTACAGAATGGCACCAGCACCATTTAACCTCACTGACACTGGGGTAGAGTCAGGATGGGTAAGGGTACTACCCCTAACTTAAGAGGTATGGGGTTGATTCTTTGTACATAGATTTGCAAAGGAACAATGCAATTAAGGGCTTTTTCTCAACTCTGTTTATTTTATAACCTTTTTACTGTGCAGAAGAGGCATATGATTTCTGCAGAGACAAATTCAGAGTTTTGAGAATTGTAAAACCAAGCATCTGTAATAATATCTTCTAGACAGAAATAGTGCCCAGTAATCCTACAGAAACCTCTGGAAGAACATGACACTGTGAATGGATTAATGTAATTAATTTACCAAAAAAAAAAAAAAAATTAAACACTGCTTGAATATATAGCCTCATGCTACATAATTAAAAACTAATCCTTATTTCATGATGAATAAACTTTGGACTATAATTTATCTTAGAAAGAAAACTATATTTTCCTCAGAAAGCATTTTATTAAAAATATCCAATTCAAATAAAAGAACTGATTTAAATTTTAAAATATCAGATTTTTTATTTTTTTTAAAGAAATCATTGATTTTTATCAGTCCCGGACACAAGTGTAGCATATTGTAGCTGCCATCCTATATTTCCATGTAATTAAGTTCTATTACAAGTACTTACAGGTCGGCATGCTTGCTCTTAAGGATTAGGGAGTAAATTCTGAAATTCACTGGACTGGTGAATTTACAAAGAGCCAGTCAATTAGTCTCACCCACCAAGGAGACTTTTGAGTTCATGCTGTGAACAGCAGCATGTATGTATGTATGTATGTATGTACAATTTCTGTATGCCATTCCATCACATAGCCTCGGGACAGCTTACATAAAATAAACAAACATAATACAAATAGTACAAATAAAATCCAGATTCTCTCTGGCTGCAAATTAAAACCTATAGATGATATTAAAAGTTGTTAAAATATTGTTTAAATATAAAGGTCTTAGCCTGGCGCTGAAAAACAAATAATGATGGCGCCAGGCGGACCTCTCTGGGGAGCACATTTCATAGGTGGGGTGCCCCCACAGAGAAAGCACTCCTCTGGGTGCTCACCCTCCTAATATCTTTCATGGAGGGTTCCTGGAGGAGGGCCTCTGCTGCCGATCTCAGGAGGTGGGAGGGCAAATATGGAGGAAGTACCCACCTCCACTGCACAATGTATGGAAAACCAATTTTGAAATCATGTGGGTTTTAAGAGCAAGTTTGCAATAGGTTATGGTAGTCCCATTTTTTGAATGAAGAAAAAGGTAAGCAAACCAAGTGGGTAAGTGCCAGCCTTGGCCACTGCTAAAGTAACACTTTGCATCTTCATTCGGAACTTTTTGGCAATTTGGCAAAGATTTAATTACTTCAGACTTTCATACTGACCTGTCTACTTCATCACGAGCAACAATGTCTCCTTTCTTTAATGCTTTAATAGCAAACATTTCATTTGTATTTTTATACTCTGCCAAAAGAACCTGAAATACAAGACAATTGGCAAGTTTTTAATTGTATTTAGCATCAAAACACTTTGGATCAGATCCAGATGTAGTCACATTTAGAGCAGACTCAATGAAATCAATGGGGCTTATCTTAGTTACAACTGGTCCAACCCTTATTATTTTATGAATACTTTAAAGATATTTTAAAGCTGTTACAGACCAAGAACTCTGATTCTAAGAAATCACACATACCTTTCCAAAGTGACCCCTACCCAGTACAGCACAACATCGGAAATCTTGTAAACTAAATTGAAATCTTGGTTGAATTCTGAAATATAACAAATTAATAAGTAAATGAAAATTTCAAGTAAATATTGAGCTAGTGTTGTATATTGTCTTAAAACATAAAAGCCCTTACCTTCTATCTTCAGGCTCCCGTATTGTATATTCTATATCAGAGTTTGAAATTTGAGTCTCACAAATAATTTCTGGCTGAAGTTTGGGGACAAAATTATTTCTGTCATTTTCAAAATCAAATGTGTCTGTATCCTGTGAAATATGTAGAAGAAAAAAATTCTGAAGATGTAAAAAAATGAAAGTTACAAAAAAATGGAGAAGAGCATTCCATCTAAATGATTAATGCTAAAAAATCATCAGACTTGGAAGAACTATCTAATATTAACACTGCACCTCCAATTAGTTTTCTGCTGACCACAGGACCCACCACTAGTACAAGAGAAATCAGAGCTTCTGAAAGCAACCCCAGAAATGTTTGTTTCTCGAATGGAAGCGTTTCTACTCTTTCTGGTAGCTTTACATGGTGTTAGCTCCCAACTGCATTAGTAGTAAGTCCTGCTAGTACCACTAGATCCTGCCCTAGGACCATGGCATTCAGAATCTCAGGTTGAATGAAGCAGGCCTGAACTTAAGAGTCTTGCATGAAATTCTCATTCTTTCTCTCTCTCTGACTACGCTTCATTGCATTGTTTGGTATAAGACATACAACATATAAGAACTCAAGCAACTTTACATTTATCCCTATGCTATTCACATCAATAAAACAGAACAAAAAGTGTGAATGTTTCACCTATGCATAAAATTATTATTATGAGACTAAATTACCTTTCACTGTATGTATACAGCTAGCCTATATCACATGCTAAGACCTCTGGAGGCTCTGTTCAAAATACCCTCTTTAAAGGAGAAATCCAAAGAAGTGGAGCCTTCTCAGCACTGGCTCAAAAGCTCAGGAACGTTTTTCCACAGTCCAGCCTTACTGCTTTTCAAACAACTTCACAAGTCTTTGTTTAGAACCAAAATTTTTGTTGATTATGATGCTTACCACCAGTGTCTCTTTTTAACATACATCTAAATATGCTTCAAGTTATTTTATTATAGTGATATTTTCATATGGTGAAATACAGATTTCTAAATAAGGGAGGGTTGAAACTTGGTTGATGCTTAAGTACTGACTAGGCTGAGAGAAAATACTGGAAACATTAAATGTTATAATCCAAATATCTATTTAGCTAGTTCTGTGTAACCCAGAGTGTTCAAGAGCCTTCCCTCATACCACATCTGAAAGGACTTCTGAAATTGGGAGAAGCTGTAGAAGCACTCTTCCTGGTATCTCCTCACTGGTCTGCTGGTCAAGTTGCAAAAAATCAAGAGCTCTCCCTGGTCAACTTCAATCTTGAGATAAGTTTTTCGATTCTAGCCCAAGTATCTATATTTTCAATGGCACTGTGCTAAATGGTCACTTGGGCAGTCATTTAAAAGAAAAGCCATATTGCATTGCCAGATTCTCAAAAAGAAAATAATTATAACTATAACATTTCGGAGTGGAGCAAATTACACACAGAAAATCTCTGTAACAGCATGCTTTGAATAAAACAAATCAAGGATGAAATCTTTATGAACAGATGACTTTGAGAGACAACGTTTTTCAACAAATAAATTGTGCAATTGTTTTAAATATATTTTAGAAGTCTTGCCTGAGTGGGTGTAGACTGAACCTTCAGCTCAGGTGAAGGTTCATTTACTTCTCCAAGGGAAGAGGCACGCGGTGGAGTATGTGAAGGTTGAGGTTCAAGTTCAAATACCAATTTGCCCACAGGGGAGTCACTTAAAAGGAAGCAATTGACTTGGTAAGCACTGTGACAGTGGGGGAGAACATCAAAATGTTCTAAACACCACTTTACAAGTATCAGCTTTTAAACCAGCAAATACATCATGCGGCTTTCACCAAAGTATCACTGTGAAGCTTTGATTATACATCTTAGCCATTTACCTAGTTGGTGACCCTAATTCAGGAATGTGACTGTCAACTACTGGAACTGTAGCAGGCACCGAAGCTTGAGGGCTGAAGGTACCAGTATGGTTTACTGTAGGAATAGCTCTTCTCACCAGCCTTCCCCAGGTGGCTATATTAATATTCATTTGAGGAGCTCTGAGAAATGTTTTGCCTGTGGATAAAGAAAACAGAGCAAGTAATCTTTGGAGTTACCACCAAAAGCTATAATTTAATGAGAACTCATATTCATTAGTGCATTACCTGTGATGAATAAACTGTATGTCATATTCCATATTTTATACCCATTCTTGGTTAAAGAACAGGTTTCACAATTTAAAACAACATTTACAAACACAAAACAAAAATTGTACATGAAATTTGACATTAATATCAGTTTCCTGTTCAGTTAAGAGTGCAAGCTTATTTTTGTTTGTATAACACAGTTCATAAAGTCCTACTACCTTGCTGCTTGGAGAAAATTTTCTTTTGTCTTTGAAGTTTTGGTCTTCTTTCAATAACAGGATTAAAAAATGTGACCTGTAATTTGGACAAGAGGAACTAAGTTTATTAAGTTTCAAAATAATACATTTTGGAAATTATTCACACCATCTGATAACATTCTAAAAATATATGTACTGACCTCTGCAAATAGAGTACCCTGGGGTTCAAGATAGAGACACATTCCATGCCGCTGGTTATCTAAGAAGTCTTCTAGTCTCAAAAATTTCACTGCACACAGGGATCTCCAATCACGCCAATACACAGAAATTTCTAATTCACGTGACTGAGGGGAGATGAGAATTAGAAAAATATTTAATGACAGCAGTTGTGACATTTCTAATGACTCAACTGGTGACAAGTGATATCCAATGCCCCCTATGCCAACAGCAACCATCACTGGCACAAGGAGTAGATAATACAGGATGTCCCAAAAAATTTGATAGTATTTAAGTAACTACATGTCCTAGACCTAGGCAAATGAAATTAAATAGGCTTCATGTTGAACAATAAAAGATTTATTTATCAAAATTCAAACAAGAGATTCACAGGAATGTAGATTTTATAACCTATTTCACAAAGCTTCACAAATGTTCAATATGTGCACCGCCTGTGACACGACACACGTCAAGTCGGTAGTCCACCTCCTGCCAAACATGTTGTAGCATGTCTTGCGTAACATTGTGTAACTAACATTAGTTTTTACACATTTTGTTAAAATTTGAGATCATTTGAATGAGAACTGGCTATGTTATTAGACTACAAAATTATGTCAATTTTTTGGGACATGCTGTATTTTTCTCAAACGACGGGAAACAAATATACTAACACAACATAGTCAAGGAAGACACTGCAGCAGCATGGAAAACTGCCCAATATTCCCATACCAGCAAAAGCCCATCTTTGAACAGGCACTGATTTCATACATTACTGGGCTAACTTGGAAGCTGCAAGTAATGCACAGACTGGTTCCTTTTCCTTCCACTTAGCTCATTCATAGTTAAGATGAAGAAGAAAACCCTAAACTACAAAGGTTTTTACAGGGCCTTCTGCAAACACAAGAATTAAATTTTGTGGCTATTTAAAACTGTTGCTATAAAAACACACATACAGAAATTCAATAACATTTATTTCAAAGCAAACCATTTCATGAAAGATGAGTCATAAATGTACATGATTTTACAAGGCAAAATACTACTTTACAGAACCATTTGAAACAGCCTCCATACAAGTAAAACCAGCACCACAAGAAGCTTAATCCCTGAAGAACCAATGGCACTTGGAACTAAGCACTTTATGATCCACAGCCTTAACGGTGGAGAAACGTAAACTAGTATGTGTGAATTTCAAAATCAACTGTGTATCTTATGATGCAGATAGAGAAAAAACATAACTTTAATTTTAAAAAGACCGATGCTTATACTGAGGGAGAGAGACAAAAAAGCAACGCTTCACTTTTACAATAATCTCTCTCTCTCTCTCTCTCTCTCTCTCTCCCCCCCTCCCCCCCCCATCACTAGATCCCACTGTGTAGGGCCCAGTTATTTCTTGTGATCACCTTGTCCTCAGACCATGTCCACTGTTTCCATTCACAAAGAATACATGCATTCCAGAAAACATTCAAAAATTAAATCATTAAGTTCCACTAATTTCAGAGTAAATTACATATACTCCTTTTGCCCTGAACTAAACACCACACTCATGCTTTTGGTGATTTTAGCTTAAATCTCATTTGAGATAAAAGTATTAGTTGAAATGCTAACCTCAAATCACACTGAAAAAAATTCAAATTTATTAACAATAAAATTTCTGAACATAATTTTCAGAATAAGAAGTATATATTTAACTTTGGAAGAATTCTTTTACATTGGCCAAGTATCAATTTCATTTCACTGTCACATACAAAGCAGCTGGCAGACTATGAAAACATCAAATTAGGTGGAGTGGGTTTATTTTGAGAACATTTGTTTGACAAGATACGAAACTTTATTTTCTTGCTCTTAATCTTCTTTCTGTCTCAGTTTCACAAAGGCCAATTTACAAATTTATCAAACAGAAGTTTTCTATCACCATGTATGCAAGCACACGCCATTCTTTAAATCAGTGTAGACATATTGCCAAAGTCTCTGCCAAACAGATGATCCACATTGTACAACACTTCCACTTCATTCCAAGGAGGACGTTAAAATTATCCACTTTCTTCATTTTCCAAATGGTGTAGTATTTATTTTTAACTAGAACATTACCCTGATCCTATGCAAATTCACTAAGAAGTAGCTTGCCCTGTGTTTGATGGAAATAACTTCCAGGTTTATGTAGAGACTGGAAACCCTGTTATGCAGTCAGAGATGAAATATTTTTCCCCATGAAGCCTACTTTCCCTTTTAACACAGGGTTACAAAACCTGATATTGAGAAAGAGGAATAAACCACTGATACTGGGAGTTTCGTTGCAAAAATAAAATAAAATAAAATAAAATAATAAACTTTTAAAAAGAAGAGAGGGCAAGGGAGAAGACCCTGCCTTAGGTGGGAGTTTTGTGCAAGTGGAATGCACTTTTATTTATGCTCTCCCATCCTGTTAAGTTATTCCTCAGCAGTTCCTGCCATTCTGCTTCAGAGGATCCTACAGTTCTCGGGAACAAATATTCAAGAGGTACAGTCTGTTACAGAAAGGACAGTAACAACATTTTACTATATGAAGAGAATTCATTCCATTCAAGGAACAGAAGATAGGATCCAAGTCAGGATCTTTCTATATACAGTCATATAAAAGCAAGTTACCAAGTCAGTAAAAACAATAAAGAGGTCCTTACTCTGTCTAGCTCCAGCGTAAATTTCTGATCCCATGACTGATTTGAAATAGGCTTCCAGCTGGTTTGATCAACCACGGTATTATCCAACTTCAAAACAGCACAGATTTCATCTGTAATTACCCAAACTCAGTTTAACATTTTAAGAGGTATTTTCAGGAATAACAACAACAATAGTCCTGCCAAACAGATTATATGAATGTAGTAAAACTCACCATACATGCATGAACTACAAGAATCATGGTCATTGTTAATTTAGGGTTATTTAAATTGCTTGATATCTTGGTTCACCTTATCCTTGTTAACTAGTAATCAGTAGTGGAGGTGAACTCCACAGTGGTTGCCCTTTCTCACTAAAAGAAAATCTAGGTTCCCCAGTTTGAAATGTTCAGACTATGATGAGTAGCCTCTCCCCCAGAAGCTGCCAGGGTCCTGAGGCAATGCTATATTCTGGGGTACAAGAACTAGTCCACTAGAACTGCCACCTAACTCTTTCCTCAACCAAGAGATAGGAAAAGTAGCAGGCTTACAAGTACAAAGGATCTTGCACGAAGATCCTTTTGTACTCCTAATTATATCACACACTAAGAGTTTGACATGGCACACACCAGGAGTGGCCAAAGTGTGGCTCAGGAGTGGCATGTGGCTCTTATTTATTTTGTGGCTTGCTACTCACACCCATGGGCACCTGTGGGAACCCACTTGCCACTCGCTGCTTGCCGCTGCCATTCACGGGTGTCCACTTGCCTCCCACTGCTGCCACCCATGAGCACCCGCTTACAACTCTCAAACATCTGACATTGACCATATGTGGCTCTTTTGTTGAGCAAGTCTGGCTAAGCCTTACACATACTCTGAAATCAGTTAGGAATTAATACATTTTATTTTCCGGTTGGATGGCTTTTCTAAATCTATTTTAGCCAAGTCCACTATTAACTAAAATGCCCCAAGCATGCATTTCCAACTCCCTTTTTAAGATTGAAATCTCTTACTGCTGCTGATTTGAAACTGCACTTTTCAAATTGCATAATAGCACAAATGTCCCTGGACTAAATAACAATAACAACAATAACAATACAACTCTAAATTACTTGGTCAAGGTCCCAGCCTGAATGGTTTAATATGCTTGAGTATATCCATGACAAAAAGGCACTACTATTAACCAAATTTCACACCTTTAACTCCACTAAGAAATTTCATGACAGTCTTAAGATCTTTTTTAAAAGTAAAAGACACTCAACTGGACAAATCATCTGTTTTCAGAAGGTTTCGGCTACTCCCACTTTTACTTTTGCTTGTTCGGCTCATGAAAGACGATCTGGCTTCACTTGGACTCCATCCAGGTAGTGTAATAGATGTGGCTTTTGATCGACCAGGGACATTCTCCAGAATATCTTGGCAACCCATGAGTCTAACCTCCAAAGTACCTAAGATGAGATCAGATTGCCTTGAGTCATGTTCCTAGCAAAGCACCAACTTCTGCAATACAAATTGTTCACGAACAGGAACAGCACCAATAACTGCTGAACATAAATGGAGGGTAGTATAAAAGCTCTTACATAGACATGCCTTATCTCGTTTTTAACCTCAGACAAAGTCTATAGATGTTAAGAACTGCTTCCTATACATTTGTACTGAAAAGGAGTACTTTCAAAAGGACGCATGGCACCAAGTCTGGTCCCTGACTCTTTACAGGTAACACATTTCAGAACATTATTCTTGCTTTGCAAAGCATGCGTTTGATCCTTTTGTTCATTAGGTTTCAGCACATACACAACTTAGAGGATTCCAACTTTACATATCCTATGCCTAAAGATGGTGCAATAATGCTAAGAGGTGGTCTTGGATATTTTATATACATTCACACATAAACACACACACATTCTGCTGTAAGTTCAACTTAAAAACTAAAGTCATTTTGGGAAACACAAGCTAACAGCTGTGCTAGTGCTTCTAATTTGCTTGTTTATTAAATAATTTAGTAAACAACATATTAGGAACAGAGTTTTTATTCAACACCTGTTTCAAGTTAGCAAGTAAAATCTGCAGGGATATATTTAAGATCTTCATTAAGCATATGAGATATCTTGGAATTTATTTTCTTTATGGAGAGCTGCAATTACAGATGCACGTACAGACTGTCAAGAGAAACTGCTGGACTATATAACCTCAACTTTCATAAGCCCTGTGCAGACATTTATTCTTGTGGAATACCAACTCTTAATTTCTTATGTTTAATTACTTTAATCTAGAAAACTCATTAGCACAAGTAAATAGGAGTTGCATTTTTATGTGCGCCTGCTATCTGAAATTCTCTGTTCATGTTATTAGCAAAGTCTTAATACTTTGTGGAAATCTTTATTTTAGCAAAACTTTTCATCACAAGTAAGTGGCATGGGATTAAGACTGCACTCTGCTTCCAATACTTTAGTCTAGTATTTGACCACTGAGAGCTTACAACTGTAAGATAAGGAATGAAGGTTCAAAAGTTTTCAAAACATTTTGGAAATTGGACCAAATATTCCCAAATACTGAATCCGAATCTACCAGTGGACAGAAAAACTTTGCAGGTCCTGTCAGTTGGTGCAAGGTGCAGGAGGAAAGAATTCTCTTGCTCACCAGATGTTGGAACAGTAAGTCCACAATAATGATTTCTTTTTTGAATCTCAGTATGAAAGTATTTGGGGGCTGCTGTGTAAGACCAGTATAACTTTCCTCTTACAAACATATGCCATAAAAAGAGCCTTACCTAACCTACTGAAGACACCAGTTAGACGTTTGAGGTTTGTGAGCAACTGAAATATTTACAATGATGCAATTACTATAAACAACCCCCTCACACACACTTCAAAGAAAACTGATTACACCCTTTAAGGAAATTACATTTAAGTAGCTAATGATTTTATGTCCTTTATATTCTAAGTCTATTCTCAATCTACAAAGACTGGAATATGCCCATGTATTTTACTGTGAAAAAAGAATGTCAATGTGCAAAGGCAAATAACACTAAAGCTATGGATATTACAGCAAACCTGTTAAAGCTGCTGGCTTGGATAGTGTACTGTACTGATTCTGTGTAGATAGCATGCTTTGCCGTGGACTCAGAGTTGGTGAAGAAACAAGTGAAAGTTCTTCTATGATAATACTGCTTTTGGGATGGTTTTTGGGGAGTTCATTCAGTCTTTGTTCTAATGAATACTTTAAGAGGTCGAGCTTCTGGCTTGATTCATTAAATCTTGCTTGAGCCTTGTTTAAGAAAAAGAAAGCAGTTAAGAAAATAACTTGAAATTTGAATTGACAAATTTTTATTTACTATGATAAATTTACCTCTGAGAGTGCTTTCCTGTCAGTCACTTTACCAGATCCAAGCAACTTCATAACATTTTTTGCTCCTTCTGCTACTGCATATTCTATCCTAAAATGATGCCGCAATTCCTCCATACGAAGCTCAAGTGGGCTTATCACAGGTTTTGCTACAGATGAAAATACACAGGAATTCTTTAGTACGCATTCAAATACTACTTGTCTTGATTCATATAATATGTGATGTTAAACAAATGAGCACAGGAGTAAGACAGTAGATGAACAACAGATACACCAATAGCCAAACCAGTTCAGCAAAGATGCTGAAGTGAAATATTGAGCTCTCATGGTCTGATAAAGAGAAGCTCATTACATTCTGTCCTCCTTTGTGACAGTGAAAGTAGCTGAGGTACAGCAAACTTTAGGCATACCTGGGGCCCTGAAATCTAGTAGCCCTTTGCCACTGTGCTAATTGTTAGTACAGCTGCAAACAATCAGCCCAGTTGCAAGAACCCTTGGATAGAAATGGTGTCATCAGTTCCACAGTGGAGACTGGATTGTTGCTGGGTCATCTCTAAACCCTGTGGTTGCCTGAGTTGCCAGAGCTGTGAAAAGATCTACCTTTTATAAAAAGCCACACAGAAAGCTTCTACCAGTTTAATCTTTTCAAGCATCCTGATAATGCACTTACCACATGCACTGACCCATTTGCATGAAAAGAACAGCAGGCCAATTATAAGCCCAGATAGGCTAACAATTACCAACATTTTAACAGTACTTATGCATGAGTCAGCACAAGTGATGACTAGAACACAGGCAAAGCTTGCACTGGTAAGGTTTTATCCTTTATCAGCCAAGTGAAGGTATAGTAAAGTATAGTATAGTACATTTTCCTGCATCCACATTTGATGGAACTGGAGAGGCATGAAACATTCTCACATTTTTGGGCTACCAGCAGTGGGGATTTTGTATTACTCAAAGAGAGTAAAAATAGTAACGGAGGACCACAAGTGGCCCAAGAGGCTAGTGTACATGCATGTTTGTCATGAGTATAGGAACCTGAATAATTAGTCTTCTAAGAATATCTCATTGTTTGAGCCACACTGCAGTACAAATGGCTACCCAGAGAAAGAGGTGAGGGGCTGACTGAACATATGATCTAGTCCTGTTAATGTCTTTCTTTAAAATTCCATGGACATTAGAATTGGAAAATAGTCAAGAGGCAAACAACAGTTTGGATAGTTCCTTTTTTCCCCTAATGCTTCACCATTATCAAAAGCCAATTCATTAGTCTGGACTGCTTGAAGAATCTGCATTCTTATAACTTCAATTTTTGTCTTGCTATCCTGAAGCATTTGTTGAGCAGTGGCAAGCAGCTTCCGGTCCTGAAAAAGAAATACGGAGTGAAGTGCACTTAAATTCCCAAGTGAGATCCAAGTAGTAGCAATCAGTACTATCTTTTCCAGAGCATAACTCTGCAGCAAATACACTTCTACTACTTTAACCATCCCTGCCCTTCTTACCATATTTTATCCTATTGACAGCATTTCCAGAAGACCGAGGAGCAGGTATATATTTAAAAGAAAACTACAATCCAACAACCAACTACACATAGCACTCAAGATACAGGACTGCTTTGATGCAAAAACAAAAAGGTCCATTACAGGAAGCAAAACCAACATGTTGCACTATTGTACTCTAACACATTGCTTATGATTAAAATGTGTCCTTGTACTGATTTATATGACATGTGAAACATATAAACATGCATGGTTGCAATTCCTATGAATTGTTACAGGCATTACCATTTCCAGAAATAAGTCACAACAGGATTTGCACCAGTGTGACATTTGCATTGTACACAGTGAAGAACACTGAAAACATTTATATTAATGAAACAAGCTAGAAAAGCTATTCTTGCACATATTGCACATACACAGTTTATGGGGGAAAGATGACAGTTTATGGGGAAAAGATGTCCTTTTAATATTTGAAGGTAATAGAAAGTAGCTTATAGGAAACAGCTTCCTTCCATGTTAGAAATGCTATAGTAAGATTAACAGTGTAATTTAACATGTATAACTGAAACAGTGCCTGGAACACTACTGAGTTTCACAAAGGTCAGTGAGCCATCAGGAAGCAATTCAAACTGCCAACTCCGAGTCTGCAATCCATTCAGTTCTCTTGTAGCAATCTGTATTCCTTTCGTTCTTCTAAACATATCATGAAGATTCCAAGTAATGGTTACTGATGTACATTATCCCTGAACTTGAGATATGACTTTTAGAGGGCAACACTGGGAATAGGAGAAGAGTGATTTACACTATAATCTTAGATGATCTTCAACTAGCCCGGCCCATCAAAACAAACAGGTACTCCCCTGACACAAATGCATATATACTACTGCCTTGTTCAGCAATAAAATGTGCAGAAACATCCAGAAATGTTTTAATGTCATATATTGATGTTCACACTGTATTTGTACAATGCCCTTTGCCACACTATCCAGCATGTCATCTTATAATATCAGTTATTAAACTGTAGCAGACAGACTCTGGTTTGCTTTCTTTTAACATTATAAGACATCCTATTGGGATCAAATATGAATTACCCTTCATGACCACACTAACTGACATGTTATTATTTACAGAGGTGGAATCTATTTTACTCTGTCCATCATGCCAAATTGAAAAACTTCCTATTTGCATGCAAGCTGAAAAGATGGAAGCATCTGGTTTCCTTCATAAGGTCTTACCTTTGATGACCCATTAGAGTACATATGGATCATATTCTCTGCTCCTTGTTTTACTTTCAGTTCTATATCCAACTGTTTTTTTAAGGCCATCAACCTGTTGCTAGTAGGAAAACGAGGATCACTGTTTGGTGTATCTGGTGTTCTTGGACAATCTGTGAATTACAAACAGATCAGCTATGTGATAAGTCAAAAAGCAATTTTCTAAATACATTTATTCTAAAATCACAAAGAAGGCCAAAGTATCAGGGTCAATATAATTTTCTTTTTCATTAGTCAATGATTACTAAGCATGGAATAACAGTTCAAAATTAACACTTTAGCCAAGATTACATTTGATCATAGAATTATAGAATAGTAAAGTAGGAAGGTGCCATGAAGGCCATCGGGTCCAACCCCTTGCTGTTGTACGACACCAAATCCACTCAGACAGCTGTCCAGTTTCTTTCTGAATGTCTACAGTGTAGGAAAGCTTACCACCTCTCTAGGCAATTGGTTCCACTGTCATGTTTGTTTATGTATATTATGTACATAATACGTAGCCAGTCTACATATTTATGTATTTGTGCGCCGCCTGTAACTGCCAAGGCTTTCCTAGGCAGCTTACAATACATAAAACATATTAACAAAATAAAACCAATTAAAACACTACCAATTAAAACATCTATGAAAGCAGTATAAAAAGGGTCACAGCATTCAGGCTAAGTCTTAAAACATTTCCTAAGAAGGTATGTCTTTGCCTGGTGCTGAAAGGAAAACAGACAGTGCCAGGTGAATTTCCCTAGAGAAGGAGTTCCAAAGATGGGGAGCAGCAGCGGGAAAGGCCCTTCGCCTAGTTGCCACCCCTCTCATCTCCCTGAAGGGTGGTTCTTGTGAGTTGATCTAAGGGGGTTGGTAGGTATATATGGGTGCAGACGGTACTTTAGAAAGCCGGGCCCCAAGCTGTTTAGGGCTTTATATGTCAATACAAGCACCCTGTATTGGGCCCAGGCCACAACTGGTAGCCAGTGGAACTGGTGTTACATGGGCCACTCTAGAAGTACCAGTCACCAACTGAGCAGCCTGATTCTGCACCAGTTGCAATTGCTGGACCATCTTCAAGGGCAGCCCCATGTAGAGAGCATTACAATAATCTATCTTGTAGCATGTGTAACTATCTTCAGGTTCCCATTGTCTAGGTAGGGGTGGAGCTGGAAAACCCACCACAGCTAGAAAAAGGTACTCCTAGACACTGAGTCCACCTGATATTCCATGGACAGACTGGGGTCCAAGAGCACCCCCAAACTGCGGTCCCTGTTCTTTAGGGTGAGTGTGACTCCATTCGGGACAGGGTAATGCCCTCCTAACCTATCAGAGGTCCACCCTACCAATAGTACCTCCATCTTATCAGGATTAAGCCTCAGTTTATTGACCCTCATCCGGTCCATTATTGACCTCAGGCCCCGGCTCAGGACAGCAATGGCCTCACCTGGATTAGATGAAAAAGAGAGATAGAGCTGAGTATTGTCAGCATACTGCTGACTCCTCAGCCCAAACCTCCAGATGACCTCTCTCAGAAGTTTCATGTAGATATTAAACAGCATGGGGGACAGTACGGAGCCCTGCGGAACCCCATGAGGCAACTGCAATGGGGTGGAGCAACTGTCTCCCAGCAACACCTTCTGGACCTGGTCAGCCAGGTAGGAGTGGAACCACTGCAAAGTGGTGCCTCCCACTCCTAACCCAGCCAGCCTGTCCAGAAGGACACCATGGTCAATGGTGTCAAAAGCCACTGAGAGGTCAAGGAGAACCAACAGAGTCACATTCCCCAGTCCCTCTCCCTGCACAGGTCATTATAAAGGGCAATCAAGGCTGTCTCCGTCACATACCAGGGCCTAAAACCAAATTTAAATGGATCCAGATAATCCGTATTCTCCAAGTGTGCCTGAAGCTGCCGAGCCACCATCCACTCCAACACCTTGTCCAAAAATTGGAAGGTTGGCAATGGGATGGTAGTTATCCAGTATCCCTAGACCCAGGTCTGACCCTTTTAGGAGTGGCCTAACTACTGCCTCCTTCAATGGGCCAGGGACCGCCCCCTCTCTCAATGAGGCGTTGACAACCTCCTGGACCCAGGGCCCAATCTTATCTACAGACCTTCCAACCAACCAAGTCGTGCATGAGTCAAACAGGCATATGGTTAATTGGACAGAGCCAAGCACCTTGTCCACATTCTCGGGTCACAACAACTGAAACTTATCCAATGATAAAACATAAAATGGTGCACTGTACACTTTCCAAGATTGATGTATACAAACAGTAGAGTCAAGCTCAAAGTGTTGAGCAAATTTGTCACAGCGAGCCATTGAGGGCTCTTCACAAGACTTCCTCCACTTGCACTCTAGCCATCTCCCCACAAGACCACCCGAAATAACTCAGCTGGATGGCAGTGTGAGGAAGCAATAGAGGAGGCAAGGAAATCACACTTGGCCTGCTTTGTTGCCACAGAATAGGCTCAATTGTGAGTTTATAAACGTGTTTGATCAGACTCTTCACAAGACTTCCTCCACTTGCACTCTAGCCATCTCCCTTCCTGCTTCATTGCTCTCAGCTCATTACTACACCAGGGTGCTGCATGGGCTCAGCGGGAGGGCAGAGGGTGCCTAGGTGAGATCGTGCTGATTGCCCAAGCCATTTCCCTATTCCATAGGGCAACCTGGGCATCAGCAGGAGCACCCACCATATCAGTCAGATAATCCTCCAGAGCCCTTTGGAAGCCTTCAGGGTCCATCATATTCCAGGGGGTGGATCTTTCTAATTGAACCTCCACTCTTGCAGAGGGGAAAAGGAAGTGACAACCTAAACTTGACCAGGTAATGGTCTGACCATGACAATGGGGTAGATGTTAGCCCTGCCCATACGGAACCACCATCCACCTGCTCTGTCCAGAAAACAAGGTCCAGAGCGTGGCCTTTCTCATGTGTTGGGCTGATGACATGCTGAGACAGCCCGATGGTTGTCAAGGTGGCCATGAAGTCCTCAGCTGCTCCAGATAAAGAGGCCTCAGCATGGAAATTGAAGTCCCCAAGGACTAACATCCTGGGGGACCTCGAAACTAGAACCGAGACCAACTCCATCAGCTGAGGCAGGGAGACTAATACAGTGCAGCAACAAAGTAGGCAAACAGTACATTAAAAGAATCCCCAATCTTTCTTGGGAGCTCAACTCTAGACGTTCACCCGAGCGGACAGGAAGCCTGGCAAGAGAGATCAAATCTTTACAAATTATTGCCAGCCTCCCTCTACTGCCAACCCTCTATTGCCAACCCCCCCCCCCTGTATTCTGTGCAGCATCAGGATATGAGGGGGCCCACCCTCCTTTCCCACCCAGGTTTCAGTAATGCACACCAGGTCAGCCTTCTTGTCCATGATTAAATCGTGAATGATGGCACTTTTATTACAGACTGACCTGGCATTAATTAACAGCACCAGGAGTCCCAAGGGCAGACTGATATGATTGCCCTGCATCCTCATGCTGGCGGGGAGGGCTAGAAGAGGGGACAGATATTAAGCATCTGCCAATGAGGCATCTGAAATTAGTAGGTCTGATATTAGGCATCTGAAAAGGCAGGTTGCTCACCTGTAACTCTTGTTCTTCGAGTGGCCATCTGTGCATTCACACATATGGGTGCTGCGCCTGCGCAGTGCCTGTGGCCAGAAAGATTTAAAGCTTAATGGTTTTGGTGGGAACTCTGCACCCCTCCCCCCCCACAGTATAAGAAGGTGGAGTGCCTGCCATTTCCTCAGTCTACTGGTGACCGAACATTCCCCCTGCCCCCCCACCGGGAGCGTTTATTGCAGGGAATCTGCTGAATACTAGGCATACACATACAAATAAATCCATACATTAAGAGAAAAAAACCACCTACGGATTCGCCATCAAAATAAATACAGTACTGAAGAAACCCAGTCACCGACACTGAGTGGGGCCGGCGGGTGGGTTGTGTGAATGCACAGATGGCCACTTGAAGAACGACAGTTACAGGTGAGCAACCTGCCTTTCTTCGTCGTGGCCTCTGTGCATCACACATATGGGTGACTAGCAAGCTTACCAAACCTGGAGGCAGGGCGGTGTCGTCATTGGAGAACAGAAGAAAGGACTGCCCGACCAAAGGAGCAATCATGTCTGGCATGCACATCAAGACGGCAATGTCTGGCAAAGGTGCAAGGAGTAATCCAAGTGGCAGCCTTGCATATGTCTTGGATCAGAATGCCAGCAGAAAAAGCAGAAGCTGCTGCTACTGCCCTCGTGGAGTGCCCTCCAGGTAAGTCTAATTTAGCAAGCTGATATGCCAGTTCGATGGTCTGTACAATCAATTTCGAAAGTCTTTGGGATCCAATAGGAGAGCCCTTGTCATGTTCTGAGTACTTGATGAAAAGCCGGTTAGTTTTGCGAAAAGATTCTGTGCGAGATCTGTAAAAGGCAAGGCAACGATGAATGTCAAGAGAGTGAAGCGATCGCTCTATCTGTGTAGATGGAGTAGGGAAGAAGGCTGGTAAGATAATGTCTTGATTGATATGGAAAGGGGTCACAACTTTCGGTAAGAATGCCGGATCGGTACGCAGGATGACCTTCTCTTTATGGAAGTTGAGATAAGGAGGGTCTATACGGAGTGCACTGGCCCTTCTAGCCAATGTGATAGCGACGAGAAAGGGAGTCTTCCAAGACAAGAGGCGCAAGTCAGTAGTCACCAAGGGCTCGAAAGGAGGTCTGGTGAGCGCATGCAAAACAACAGAAAGGCTCCAAATAGGAATAATTGGTCTAACTGGTGGTGGTTGTAGATTTTGCAGTCCTTTAAGGAATCAATGAATGAGGGTATGAGAGAATACTGAAGAACCTAACACATGGCCACGATAGTGGAAGATTGCAGCAGTGTAAACTCTGATAGATGAAGGTGTAAGTCTAGTCTGGTGTAGTGACAAGAGAAACTGAAGAATGTTTTCAATGGAGGCTGAGTGAGCAATAAAGCTATTAGATTCAGCAAAAGATGTAAAGAGCCTCCATTTAGCTACGTAAGATCGGCGGGTTGCAGATCTTAGTGCGGACTGGAGAATGAACTGAATATCAGGATGTAGAGTACTCGGATCCGATGGAGCATTTGTGGGTATCGCGAGAG